TTTCAGTGCTATGTGTTACTGCTATGTGTTTTTGAATTGCTTTATTTGTTTAAACGGCCAATGTGAAAAAAGGCCTTTGTGCCTACAATTGTAACCGTTGTTTGAATAAATTTGAATAAATTTGAATAAATTTGAATTTTAGCCAATATTTTAATGACATAAGATCTTTTCTTATTCTTCACAAACATGAGTAACCTTCTAAACAAGTTAATTAAAAAAGTCTAGTGACATTTATGCGCAATTTCCTTATGTTATCTAAAAATAGCTCTGACGTATAATGTTGGGGTGCGTTCAAGCTAGAAGAACGATCGGTTTGTAGGTGTTTATGTAATTTTAAAATTTGTGACCGAACGAGAGGATATTTTTGAAAATTTTCTTCGGCAATATTGTTCTAAATTATGGCAGAAATCGATTGGTACATGTTTCAAGTCGCTAAGTGGTCTGGTGGCCGAGATATGGCCAAAAACTGAATTTTTTCGAGGTTTTTTGGCTTTTCCGGGAAATACATGAAAGAAACCCGGAATTTTTATGGCCTATGCTCATTCTCGTAACTTGCTTAACATAATTGCTTTTGGAACTAGTCATCGATATTGCTTCGTTGAGGAGGAGATACGACTTAAAGCCCGGACACACATTCATCCATACATTCATTCATTCATCCATCCATTCCCAGAAATGACGAGTTAATAAACGCAATTCTCCAGAATGGGAATTGCGCTAAAAAACTTATATAGTTTACCTTGAGATCAAACGAAGACCTGTAAAACACAACCTTCTATCGGTGTGTTGAATATATTCAACCTGCTGGCTCGGTCGATAAAGCAGAAGCAATTAGCACAGCCGCTGAGTTAGACCTATTTAGTGAACTTGCTACCGGTAGAAAGTCTATTTATATTCCTTTTTTGACCCACATTAGCGATACCGCAAGATAATTTTTTTCTTCAGTAATCAAAGTCTATCAATGCATCATATGACGTTAAGTTACAAAATATTTCAGTTAGTAATAACACAGGTAGTGTTAGTTACCTGACAAATTAAAGACAATTACAGGTACAATGGACGTTTCTACCCACTGTCTTCGTCAGCACAAAGTCTATGACCCCTATAGGTTAACTTTAGAATATAGTCAGGAGGCGCTATAAGAGAGACTGGCGATTTTATAAAATAATTCAACAAGCTTAAACGACAACAATGCGTTAATTAGCTGGTAATTTTCTTTCTGTACTATAGTGACAATCCCTGTAATGGGTTC